CCCTCCGAAAGTTTAGGCACGCAGCAATATGCCAAGAAATTCCAGCGATGAACAATCTCGGGCGCATTTTTTCACGGCTGCTCCTCTTCAGGCCGCCCCGCTCTCTTGGCTGTGCGCGTACTAAATTATTATTGGAAACTTTTGTTCGATTATACAGTGCGCCGAGTAAGTAAGCAAGTGAGATTGCGAAATTAATTAATGATGGAAAGTTTGAGCAACTCGTAAGTTTCAATGGCTCTTTCATCAGCGGCATGCGCGAGAATTTCTACAAAGTTGCAGCAAGAAGAGCTTCGCTTGCTCGCTCGCTCGCTCATTCTCAACCCTCTGGCGCCACCCCGCACATGCCATTATTCCGCGGGGCGTCAGTTATTTTTTGGTGCCATCAATTCACTCATGAAAAGAGTCCATTATTGGCGCGGGCGAAAATAAATTCATTATCAGCGAGCGCCGAGCTCATTTTTCAAACTTCCAAAAGGGGAAAAAATCGTGTGCGTGCCGAAAAAGCGGCACCACGTTTTCGCCATTCAATATGCACGTTTTACAAGCTGCCACCGTGAGAAAATCAGGTGTGTTTATGTAGCTTTTTGAAGCTTTTCAGCGAGATTAAAAAACACGCTTCGACGCGTGCAAATGGCATAAGGCAACATCATAAGCAGACTCTGCCTCTACATTATCCCACAATATCAAATAACGTTTTTTTGTCCGCGCTAAAATTTCTTTCTACGATTCTTAGTACAAATTATTAATGTTAATAAAAAAAATTTTACTTTTCAGAAAAGTAATTTACCTTGAGCAGACTATTAAACTTTCGTTGATGACCAGAAGACCTAAAATAACACATTCATCCTAAAAATTATTTTCCATTTTATAGCTTTGAAGTAATTTAGTTTTTTTTTTATTGTACCAACACATATTTCAATTATTTTCAATATTGTATATTGTTCACGTTTTTTCACTAATTTACGTTAGGCATAATTTGTCAAACTTGTTTGTAATTTTCCAGTAACATGAGGCCTTTATTTTAATATTATTTTTATTTTTTTTTTTAAATTACAGGCTTAAAGTGCACGTTTGCTTTTTAATATCCTTCCTCTTTAATTAAAAAAGTAATTACTAGGTTAGCAGTAACTGTGTTGTTTGTATGCCTCGTCATTGATAACGAGTTTCTCTTCATCACCGTTTTGTGACAAAAACCAATACGGCGCGGCACAGCAGTATTCCACTCTATGTGTCGAGCAGGTTGCATAACTCACCGCCATTCCAGCTGAATGAATGGGACCGCTCGGTAGGCGGAATGGTGTCTGCAGTGGCGGCGAATGCACCACTCGAGCGGCGTTTGCTGAAATTAAAGCCGTAAATTGAAATTTAAAATGAGATCTGAGCGGCCTATTACGCGCCGGCAGAGGAGAGTCGGTTTCAAATTATTAGCCGGCGAGACGAGAGTCGGGCTATTTTCTTGTTCCCGCGCTCTATTTTATGGCAGGTATTAAACCCGGCGTGCACATGCGCTTAATTGCAATAAAAAAGATTATTATGCTCTCAAGATGAAATTTATTCAGACGCTTGTAATTAATTTTCAGCAAGAATTTGAATTTATGCCCCCGCTTTATGGTGCTCTCCGAGTAAAAAGTAGTGCGCGCGGCAAACAAGTGCAAAAAACGAGACCTCCGGCGGCGGTGGCGGCTTCAAATTGCTATTTCTTTCCTCTCAGCCACACTCTCGACTCGCAGCCGGCTCATTTCCATTTTGCGCCAACCAAATGGCGATTTTCTTTATTTTCCGGCTAAAAAAAATCGGCCGCAAACTTGCGTTGCCACGGGCTTTGGCTTTTAACCTCCACAGCTTAATGCCGTGGATTTGGCAGCGAGTTCATTCACACATCTGGCTCTTTGCACATGTGTGGCCAAAAGTTTCAAATCCATCATCCATCAAACTGACGAGTTACAAATTTTTTTTAATAAAAACATACTTGCTTAATATTTATTAAAAGTCATCAAAATTACCACCAGAAATAAAATTGCTTCATGTAATATGAAACGTGATTGTTTATGTTAAACTCTTTGGTGTTGAATCCATTTATCTTTCGCCATAAAAAAAGAAAACATTTGATTTACATTACAATAAAATAATAATCTTCATTCAATCTCCACACTGTGTGAAGGACAGAATAACCGTCACAGGGTTGACTGGCAGTTAGAGCGCCCAGTTCAAAACGCGGCCAGAATAATGATAGTTGGGTTGCAAGGGGCGGTCAAATGGACGGACGGACGGCTGTGGTTGCTCTTTGAGATGGTGACAAGCGACCCCTTTTGACGGCAGAAACATTTTCGAGCTAGGTCTTGGGTCAACAAACTCTTTTAACTTGGCACGGAGGGGTTGGTTATTATTGTGTTCACATGCAAAAACGAGCTGAGCTGCGGTTTGACAGTGCATTAGCATAGTCGCTCTATTAATGACAAAATAAATTATATATACACAATCCATTGACTTGGAACTGACTGCTTGAAAAGGCCATTAGTGATTAATATTTAAAATTAATTTATAGCATAATTTTGCATTCGACCTCAGAGCTATAACCTTAACGCAATCATGGAATTATCCGCAATGAACGTTTGATTTTGAAACTGTGATGAAGAGATGCACTTGCCAAAGGGACAACAGAAGTGCTGAGCAAATCTTTCCCCGTTGTTGGAAACAAGTATGCTCTCAGCCCTTATGCTAATTCTACCCCGAAATGAAACTTTCGAACACGGTTGGCAAAACTCTGAAGTAGAACGGTCGCTATGTCGGGTGCAACGCACAATGAAGTTGCAAAAACCGGGAGGTGACTCAGCGCCCCGCAATTAATCCATCACTGCTCGTCGTTTGCTAATGAAAACGTTACGATTTGATTAAAAGCGGCGTGTTTGACTTTCACTCGAAAGAGAGAGAGGTGCGATCGCGGCGCCGCCATTAATGCAAATTTATTGTTTGCGTTTGCCGGCGAATAAATAATGGACAGCCCCTCGGCTTAATGGAAACAAGCACCACCGTGTACACCGCCCTCTGCAGGGGGTGGTCGTCTCGAGGGAGGCCGGCCAGGGGTGCCCTCGCTGTATGTGTGTGATTGATCGCTACACATCGGCCTTGCCACGGATTTGTGTCCGGCCGAGATTGCGAATGCAAAGTGCGCCTCTCTCTCTCTTTCGAGCCAAGATGGATCCGTCCACTAACGACACTCACGCACCGGCTGCACCTTATTTTCTGCTACCCACACACACTCGTATAATAATGTATAGATCCTCTGTGTTGACCTATTTGCGAGGAGTCATCGAGATAAGAGCTTGCTCTCGGAATAATTTCCACACCTGCGGTGCTGCTCGCCTTCAAGTGTAATTTATTTAATAAAGCTGCCGGCTTTTCACATATTTTATGCATGAAATCGTCCGGCGCACGACACTTTTGGATTATATTCAATTTTTCTTTTTCCTTTTATTTCGATATCCATATTGGAATACCCGAGGAGTATTGCGTGCTCTGATTTTGACTTGGGAATCGGTAAATTATGCAACCATACAATTTTAATACAAAAATACATTTTTCTTCCAGACGAGATAAAATCCAAAGATTATATTGTCGACGAAATCCCAGTTTTCGGGTTTACCTCGTAAATAAATGTGAGCATTTTGCAACTTCACTTGAAGCGGCATATTGATGTCAGCAAATTAGCTAAAGGAATTTCAAATAATACATACGTTTTAAACGAATGAACAGAGGCAGTCGAGTGCCAATATGAGCAGCGTCGAAATTCGCTTTTCTGCGAGAGCGGCTTTTGTTTGCGTTTTGTTTTGCAGTCGCTTGCTCTCCGCTGGCGCTTTCATAATATGAAATATTTGAGCGCCGCAGTCAGTGGTGCATGTTGGCACTTTTATTCCTGCCCAGGAACTGAATTTTACATGGTAATTTAGCAGATGAGCAGCAATGCCGGATTCATTCAATAAAACCCACTGTGCTGCGCTGCTAGTGAGCAAGCGAGTGAGAGAGCAAAAAGCAGCCACGCGAACGACGAAAAAGGAAAGAGGCGAACGTGAATTGGCGGGATTTACAACTCAGTATTGCAGATCTAGCTAAAATATCAACTGTTTGGGTACAATTTTTTCATTCAAATATTAGTATAAAATCGTATAAAATTAAGTAACATGTAATTATTGTTTTTAGTGGCAAATTAATATAATATATAAAAAAATAATATTATGCGCCCCAATTTTGCGCTGTTTATTGCTTTTTTATGATACAATTTTTATTATTAATAAAATTAATTTGTTCAAGTTTACACAAATATTTGTTTAATAAAAATAGGTGATTTTATGATCAATAAGTAAAATGCCCGCATTTTTAAGCAAGCTGATAGTGGAAACCAGTTGTCGTTCCTAAATTGAAGATTTAATAAAATTGGTGATTTCTCATAAAAATGAGAAATTTGAGCTTTGTCTTAGCCTTTTACTACAAAATTAGTGAGCTGCATTTTTTCATCCTTAAATCTGAATAATATAAATTAGCTAATCATTAACAATTTTTTACTCAATTTGTTAGAGTATCAGTTGAATAATTAATATTACATCTAAATTTTATGAGCATCATGAAAAGCCCAGCGTGGAAAGGCACAAGGGTTGGAGAAGCGGTTGAACGTTAGCGCTAAATGCCCACTCGAAAGCCTAATGACCCCCTCTATAATTGCCGCGATGATTAATCACGTGTCCCTCGACGCACGTGTGTATAAATAGGCATGCCACCTTGGAAAATAAACACCTGTGCCTGCACCTGCTGTTGGGCCAGCAATAATAAAGAGAGGCGTGATGAATATCACTGCAGATGCCGACAGTACAGACATTCAAAATGAAGGGAAAATAAAATGAAAAAGTTGATCATATAATAATATTTGAATACATCCAAATTTATTTTTGAGAAAATATTTTAAATTTTAGATATAGAAAAGGCAAAGAACAGGTAGGATAGGAACTATTGTTTAATATTATTTTGACAAAGTATTTTTATCTATTGGTTCAATCTTTTGGAAATTTCTTTAGAAATTTTAACTTTTCTATCAAAATTCTATTATCTATCAGAAGAAAAATAAAGTCTTTTTATAGGCATCAGTAAACAAGAACTTTGTAATAGTGGAGTGAGAAATTTGTAAAAAAATACATTATGAGGAATTGACAGAAATATCAATTTTCAATTGAAAAAAAGATATATTTAAATATTCACCACGACAAGGCGATGGGCTATTAGCCAGGTAGAAGGAACGCCAGGACCTTTGTCAATGAAGTATTTGGTGTGAAGGGCCCAACCACCTCTTCTTGGCACAACAGACAGTTTGCAAGTTTTCGGCCAGCGAGCCACTTCTCCATGCATATCTGCAAAATTAGATAATTTGACATAAAGCAAAATATAATTTTAGTGAAATTTCAAATTTTTTATTTAAATACAATATCTAATTTGCACACAAGTATTTTTCTAATGATTTTTCTTTTCTTTAATATAAGTAAAAATAATTATTCAAATTAATAAAGTAAAAATTTAACATACCAAGCACTTGTTGTGACCACATTTCATTGTGACTGGATTCACGCAGACTTCATGGCAGATGATGCATTTAAATTGTTCAACAACAGCCTTGATGAACTCCTAAAATCATTTTAATGAGATAAAATTTCTCTTTACTCTGATCATCAGAATTACTTACAGGATATCCACGTTTCTGGGCTTCCTCCAGGACCCTCCAGTTTCTTGCATTCAGACGATCTTGAGTAATCAGCTTCAGGACCCCTCTTGGCAGAATATATGGTGTGATAATTTCCTCTTTCTTATCCACCGTATCAGTCAGACACATCATCTTTGCTGGTGTCTCCTCTGGCTGTCCCTTTGAAAGATTTAACAAAACTTATTTATAATAAAACAAAATACAAAAAAACCCTACTTCCAGAAATCCAATGCTCATCTTCCTCATGAAAGCCTTCCCTTCGGATGTCCATGGTGCAGGCTCATTGTCATCCCTGACCAGTTCTAACTCCCAAGTCTTATCCTTTCCCTTAGAGCACCGAATGACTTTATAAATTCCGTCATATCTGGAAATTATAATACAATATTAATAATTTAAAATATTTTATTTCATATACTACCGGAAGCCACATGTTGGAGCAAAATTTGTTGACAAGGTGTCGCTTCTTACAACTCTGATTGGGGATCCCATTCGCCAATTTCTGGCTCCAAGTTTGGCATAAAGCGTCTGGACCATGGCCCTTTGAATATGAATATTAATACAATATTAAAATAATTATCCATTTCTTCAAAACTTACAAATTGTTGACGGTGCCAGAAATGCCCGACAAAACAAAACGATGCCCTTTGTCATCCAAATGTCCTTTGAGACTTGAAGTCAAGCAAATGCTTTGAATACCTGCTGCAGAGCCGCAAATGCTCATCTCAGTTGAGCCGTGAACACCTAGGCTCACCAACTAAAGAAACATAAATTTAAGATTAAGTAAAAAATGATTTGCCATTTTTACTTGAGCTTGAGTTGCCCACAATCTTCCTGAGAGAATACCAGGAATCTTTCCTTCAGGTACCAAACAAGCTGAACTTGCTTCCTCAGAGCTGCCCCTTTTTCTCAACTGCAGTTTTCTTGCTTCCTTTTGCCGTTTAATTGTTGCAGCATCAACATTGACACAACTCGGACAGTACCTGTTAACGAAATGATAATTATTCTTAGAGTGAAATTCTTTAACTGAGAATTTACCAATCATTTTTGGGGATTTCCTTCAATGGAGGAACGAGACAGTGCATGTGGAATGCACTGTCGCACTCGTCACACATCAGCTGACTTTCTTCCTTCCCTTTATCTCCACACACAATATGCAATAGCATTTTTTGCATTTTTTCCCTGGACTTCCTTTGCAGAATTTGCATGCTGTGTGTAACAATTTAATTAAGAGTTTACATTATTAAAAAAAAAAATATCATTTTAATTCACTTACGATCCAGTAACGAGAAGTGATCTTCAAATTTCCTCCACTCATCTCTTGTCACCAATTTTGGGAACTGAACGGTTCGGTGTTTGTAAATGACTTTTTGGTCAACAAACTGCTGCTCCTTGGCATGGATTGTGCAGGAAACAGTGACTTGGGAGGGATGGGAGAACTTTCTTGCTCTACTAACAGTTGTGATGTCCACTTCGTGCCTGAAAATGATTACAATTATCTATGAAAAATTCTTGAATATATTTTTACCATCCCTCCTCTTGGCCTGGTGGAGCCACAAAAGCCAGCACCTTCATGCCTGCCTTCAACTGATCTGCTCGAAATTCAGTTGGACTGCAAGGCAGCAAATTCTTCAGCCTCAAGAGAAGATCCTCGTTTTTCCTTTGGGCAAGAACGATAAGAATAAATTTAAAAAAGATACTTATTACAAACTTTGTAAATAAGATTCTGTAAGTTAACTTGTCCTCCTCTTCATCATTATCCATTACAGCGTTGTTACATTGCATGACGGAGACAACCTTTCCCTCCTCCCACTGACCTTTCTCAGTTTGGAAGTAGAGGTTGTCACCAGGCTAAAATTAGTCAAAGTCAGAGATTTGCAAAATAAAATACTGAAATGAAGGCCTGAGAGGCCTTAATGGATCCATTGATTTCCTTATTTTCAGCCTAATATTTACATTGATCAAATATTTAATATGTATATAATGCAAATAATTAATGTTTAACGCAATTTAAATTTTCAGAAATATATAATATCTCACGTGGAAATAATTGCTGCACAGAGTAGGAAGCTGATCATTCAAGACCTCTTTGTTGTTTTCATAGTTTTCCTTACCAGGCTTGGAGGTTTTTTCAGTATCAATTTGATCCTTTTGCTTGATACGACAATTCACCACACTAAGCTCTCCCAAACTGTAGTCTTGCAAAGGTAATTCTTCCAGGAGCTACATAATTAAAAGATTAGTACAATAATATTGTATATTTACCATTAAATTTTAAACTTTAATTTAAGTACCTTTTTCCCTCCATAAAATAGCTCAATATGAGAACATTCGCAATCGTAAAAAGAACTTGCTACTTTGAGCAAATCACTGACAAGTGAGTTTTTTGGCACACTGACCGAAGCTTCCGGCAGAGTGCGGTTGAAGTCTCGCAGTTTCAAGAGCATTTTCAAACTTAAAACGATTCAAACTTATAAAAAAAAAGCAACGATCAGAAAACAGCGTCCGTCACAGAGCGTGCATTCGACTTACAAATAAGAATTACGTACAGGAATATTTAAAGGAAATAAATTCCATCAGTCTTATAGCTCCCCCTACTCCTAGCACCACTTTTCGCACGCTCGCCGCCGAGGGTATAACATGCGTACTGCATTTCCTCCACTCCGACTGGCGAGGGGAAATTATGTGGTACATATTATAGATATGTGTTTGTACAGTTGCGCTGTTTGTGAGAAACAACTTGATGTACATATATACAGAATTTATTTTTGGCAGCGATCAAGATTTTATGTATTTAAATAATATGATGATGGCAGAGCCACATAATACCACTGATGCAATAATAAAAGTGCTTATCGTAATTAAAAAAAAGCAGAAAGTTTCGTTTTTTGTAGAGTAACCAACATAATTACTATTCTTCTGGTGAGAAAATAAAGATAGCATTTATCCTCTAGACTTATATGTTTGTTTTTAATATTTGTAATAAATTAATTTAAATATTATGTAGTAATTTAACATTAAAAAGAAAAAAATATTTTAAGACCTTGCTATAATGTGATTTAAAAAAAAAATTAATTCATAGTGCAATTAATTCTTTACTTCTAAAGATATTAATGAATTTTTTAATCCATTACCAAGTTCTGTTTTTGAATCCATAAGTTTAATTCCAATTCAGTCATAGACGATCTTAATTGCTTAACATATATAACATACAGTATGTGTACTTATCACTTCTAAGAGCTAGGGTGTCGTTGCTTGAACGCAAGACAATTACCACCTTTTGCCACTTTTCGAGTCGACCGCACGTTTTCTCGCCGCCTGAAACACACACACACACATTAAGGCGATAAATTATTTCTCCGAGCAGATGTGCAATTATAAAATAGCTCGGCCACGCGTCGGGGCGCGAGGGGTTGTAATTAAGCCCCGGGGTGACTGCTGACGCGGCGTTGGAATTGCTGTGCTACTCTTTCTCTGCGATTATACGACCACCCAACATGCTTCCGCGAAGACGCGATGCATTCCAGAGACGCGAGTTTTGCATAAGCTGCAGGCGCGAGAACTGCCGCGGGCGCTGGATGCGCTCGGGGGCGGCTGCGCTGCGGCGGCCCGAGGGGGTTGCGGCGGCCCAACGAGCCGCGCTGTCGTGCCGTGAAATCTAATTTATAGTCGCTACCAGTATAATGTCTATTATTATAATTAGATCGCTCTCTGGCGCCATAAATCATGCTGTTATTTGGGCCCGACGCGCGCGCCGATCGTCGCTTCACTCTCAAGCCGGCGTGCATACTAAGCCGCTTTTCGGCCCAGTTGCTCCGAATTCAGGGCAAACCTCAATCTTGTTTATGGCATCAGCCGACTTACTGATGCTGCTGAACCGTCGAATACGTAAATGTGACGACATGGGATCAAAACTATTCCTTATCGACCGCTCAATGGCTCTTCCGCCCTAATTTCGGATTCATTAGGGACATGCATGCAAGGAAAATATGGAAGATGGAAAGATTTGAGGATTTTATCTCAACTTTCAGTCGCGAGACGTCTTACTAATACCAACGTTAAAAATAAGAGATTCTCCGTTCCTGTTTTGTTGTTAAAATATTAATGAGACTGCTGTGGTCAGAATTTCTTCTTTAGCATAATCTTATTTAAAATCTGTTATTATTTTCTTACATTAAATCAATTACATGGAAACAATCATATGCCTATATTTGTTTATTGAATATATTCAATCTTGTTTAGTAAATTGTTGTAGTAAAATTGTTTTAGTAAAAATAGATCACAAGTTTATAAAGATATGGAATTTTGTTTGTCAATTCTAATCATTTGTCAATATGAAAGTTAATTTATTTTTGCTTATTTACAGATACTAACTGATTAAGATGCCAATCATGTCTTTGTTTAAATTATTAATCCAGTATGTTATATTTTAAGTTCCTTGATTTTTTTGAACCAGACAAGTATCCTGTAATTGTGTAATTAATAGTTAAAAAACTTAAGCATTAACTCTATACAAAATTCATTTTTTTTTTCTTTTAAACAAAGACCCAAAAAAGAAACTGATATTTTTTTGGGCAGGAATATCACTAGAGGCTAGATTCATGGTGAATTGAATTTAAAGCCAGCTTTTCCTCAATGGAGATTTTGTTACATGTATTTTTGTTTGATGAAGAAATCAGCCCGCAGCCAAAATAAGTAGAGCAGGATATTGGTTTTCCCAAAAATCAATAAACGAATAAAAAATGTAACGAGGAAAAGCTGACTTACATTAAATTCAACGATAAAATAAAAAAATTTATTTGATCTTATTTATAAATAAATTTAAACATTTACTTTTTAATTCTTATATCTCTGTTTATTATGTGAAACACGCAAGCTTCATTTTCCAAAGGCTGAATTATGTTTAACACCTGCAATCGCAAACTTTTAATGGCTGTAAAAATTGGCCAATTTTGTGGAAAACTGCTGCCTTTAAAAGTAATTTTGAAGTCAGTTTGAATTTCAATAGAAAGTATATGTCAAAAAAGCAGCGCTCCCTTCTTCAATAAGAAGCAGGTGGCGCTCTGAAAAAGTAATTCGACACGTCGAGACTTCCCTCGCTTTTTTCGTATTGATAAAAGTGCGTCCACGCATTTCCTTTTCAATCTTCCCCCGAAAATGCATAAAACGTGCCCGGGATGCAAAAACCGCGCAATGAAAGTAAATCGAAGTGAGAAAAGCGCATCCCGAGTGCACTTTCCTTTCTGGTTAAGTAACGCGCCGCCATAAAAGGGGAGGTTGGCTGAATTTTTTGGACGAATTATGATTTCCTCGTGGCGCGAACGAGCCACTGAGAGGATATTGCCGCTATTTAAATACACAATGAAATTGCCCGGGTATAGTACAGAGGGCGGGCGGGGGTGCATCAGTGCGAATCAGTCCGACAGAGATAACGCGAAAAGTGGCGCAGGAAATGGCATGGAAGCGAATTTATTTCGAGATAGTAAAACACAAGCAGCTCGGCGGCGCACTCACTTAGCAAACTTTAATGTTCAAACGTCTAGCCGTCGCTTTTTTATCGCTCTTTTTCACTCGGCGAACGCGAAAATTGGCTACTTTTCAATTGGATATTGTTGAATTATTCAATACCGCTGTCACGCAGAGCGCAAGACCAGTACCAAAGCCTCTTATCTTTCTTGCAAAAGAAGTAGTTTACTTGCTGGGACATGAACATGCATCTTTCATTTAGTTTTTGTGATGTAGTGTATTTTATTTATTTGTTTCCTTTTTTATTACAGAGAAATGGACATAACGTGGCATTTTTTTTTTATATCTGGAGAAAAAGTTCCTCTGATATAAAAGGAAAATATTCCTGTTCTTTTTTTTTCTTTTTTCAATTTATTACGATATGTGATTAAGGTTAAATTCATTTTGATTGAAGCATTTTTATGACGGCATTCAATAAAAGTCGAGATCTAATTTCAGCTGGCAATAAAAACACGATCGGTGCTTATTCTCCATCGTCAGTGCGAACAAACGCGAATTTTTATGCAAATGAGTTTTATTGGCCGATGATGAGAAGCATAAAATAAATTGCCGTCGGCGCCGCCGGCAATCCATCTATAAAACGTGGTGGATTGAACGAAAATCAGCCAACGCAAGTCAAGAGCTGGGGAGTCGCAAACAGAGGCCTGCAGCGAAATGTACGCACACATCGCCAGTTATTACATCCATCACACATTGTTGGCTGCTCTCTCGCGAAATGGATAGCTGAGGGCTGATAACATGCGAGTGCGAGTTGCCAATTTATTCGCACCTCTCGCCACCAGCAGCACTCGAACACGGCAACTCCTTGCGATATCCAATTAAAGCGACGGCCTATCACAATGCAGTGCGCCGGTTTTTGGCGTCAGCGTCGCGCGTGTTCGCAAACGCCATTGGCAGCCGAAAAATTGAGTTGTTGTTGTTTGTCAGCGCAGGTCGTGATACGAAATTACTGCGGAACTATGAATGCACGGATAAGGAAAGTAACAATAATAGTAGCACTAAAACTAGAAAATTAATGACCAATAATTTTGAAAAACATTTTCACGATAAACTTACTGAACACAATTTTAGTTTCATTTAATATTCATATATGCTCAATTGAAACTTTCAATTTTTGATTTTATTATTATCAAATACAAAATGAAAATAAAAAACTTTAGAGTAATTTTTGTATTTAAATAATGTACCCATTGGTAGAAATTGTGGCGGATTTTCTGGTTTTCTCCCCATTGTTTTCTACTTTACGTGGGCGCAAACTTTTCACGCCTGCATCGGAAGGGGAGAGAAATTTGGGTGCGAGAGTTTCTGTGACAAGTGTGTAAGCGCGTTTAGAAAAAGTGACAAAAAACGCCGTTAATCCAAAATAAACAAAACAGAGTCCGCGCGGAAAACGAATGGAAAAGCGGGTACGCGGCGCACGTGATTGTGACAAGCCGGGGAAAAGTGTAAATGACTCTCGCAAGCCGGTGCTACGGTGTTGGCTGAACGGCCCGAGAGAAAAATAACACGAAACTGCTCGCGCCTTGTCACTTTATAAACGGGCCTGGCGCACTTTCGGAAAGTGACGAACGAGACGTCATTATTTTTATTAAAAAATGGTCCCACCCCTCAGGACTTTGTACTGTCGCCATTCAGTTTTGCCAAAAGCAGTAGTAAATTTGACAATGATATTATAACAATAACTTTGTTCTCGCATGCTTTTTTTAAATTTTTAACTCTAACATACAATCATAATAAATTTATTTAATGGGCAATATTATTTGGAAAAATAGGGCCAAGAAACATTTGTTTTTAAAATTACATTTAATATAAATAAAATTGATAGCTGTGATTTTTACTCATTAAAAGTTCAGTACCAGTCATGGAATTGATAAGCAGCAAAAAAAATATTTACGTGTTATTTATGCATCTTATGCATGATTTGAATATTAAAAAATGAAACTTGAAATTATGTTTTTTTCAATCAATATAAACAATCAATTAAGTTTTTGAGAATTTAAAACTCGAAGAAACCACTCGAAACGGGAAAATATTAAATTATTATGTGATGAATGTCAATGATTATTTGAATTTCTTGTAGATTACGGAGAAAATTTTATTGCTTAAAACAAAATTAAATTAAATTGTCGCAAAAACTTTTTCAGAAAAAATTAAAATTAAAAAAAAAAAATCAATAATAATACTTTGCAACGGTGGAAAAAGGATAAAAGCTGAAATAAAATTGTTATTTAGCATTAGCAAAAAAGCATTTTTTAGCAAAGTAAAAAAAACCCAAATCCTTTTTGTTGTTGGTTTTCCGCATGAATCCGACAGAGCCAACGGTCCATGCTCAAATTCCGCCAAAACGAGGTCAGTTGTTGCAGAACGCATGTTGTTAGGCCAAATTACACCTTTTTCAGCGTCAGCGGAGGTCTATACAGAATAGCAAAGGAGCAGCGATGATAAAATTTGGAGCCCAGGAAGGGAGCGGAATCAGCGGTGCAGCGGCATTATAAAGCAGGCCGGGCTTTTGCTGTCCTGTTTTCCGCCGCGCTTTCTCTCTCTCACTCTTTCTCGGCCCATTTTCCCAAATTACATTTCACTCTCTCTCAATATGGCCGAGTAACAAGATTGGAGCGGCGAAATATGCATACACCACGCGCGCAAATTACAAATGCAAATTCGGCCGCAAATTTTCTTGTGCGGGTCGCTTTTTCGAAATTTACGACCGCAAGCGCCGCGCGCGCGTTATTCGTCTTAAAGCGGCTATTATAAGTCTTCATCATTTCGCCGCCCTTTATTGCCCTCAACAACACTGCACAGAAAGAAGTTTCCTTTTTTTTCAAACAAAAAGTTAACTGCTCTTTTTACTGCGAAACACGCTCTCGTCCCGGCGAGCACACACACCGCAATGCCCGCGCCGCTAACTGCTAATTTAATGGCCGAGAGGTGCACGCGCGCTCTCCGAAATTGCGCGGACGCCCGGTTTGCGTCACTTCGCTTACCTGGATTTGATTTCTTGCTCGTGTAAATAGGGTCGTAAAAGGTTGTGCTTCTTATTTGTTGAGCTTTCAAGTTAATAAATTACCACAAGCGTTGACCTTTAAAACAAATCATTTGGGTAAAACATCCTACCAGTATATAATTCTTTTGATTTCCACTCTCAATATTATTAATGGGGGATAGCATGTGAATATCCCCCATAATTTTTTTATTCTTTTGTCCTGCCAGAGGAAAACAATGAAACTTAATTTTGTTACATTTGTGTAAAAATATTTTGAAAGAAAGAAAAAAAACAATTGATAATAAAAAGAAAATATGGCCGAGTTTTTGAAGTAATAAAAATCATTTAATGAATTGAAATACAAAACATGTTAAGGTCATTAAGACATTAAAAACACTAAAAAATCAAGTTTTTATCTATTAGGAATCAAGTTAATGAAGGAATTATTATCAATATATCTAGCTGATAATTATTATTAATAAAAAATTAAATGGGCTGATAGAGCAATATGTGACGACTAAAACAAATTTCCAACTATTCAATATGCAATTAATTGAGTTAGCTTTAGAACTAGATAAACTTCCATTAAACCAAATCAACAAACTAAACGAATCAAGCTAGACTAACCACTTTACCTTTATATCAACATCAGCCTTTTGCAATGAATTTCTCCCCAAATCCCATTAAATATATCTTTAATATATTATGAAGCTTTTCAAAACTTATCGTCTGCAACCGCATGGCAACCCAATCGAAAAATTCACTTGACTGTCTCCATTCCAATTAATCCTTTTGGGAATGAGCCGAGCGAAAGGAAAAAAGGAGGTTGAGCCCGAAAATTTTGTCAGTGGAGCAGCGAGCGAGAGACGCGCCCTTTTATATATGAAACACACAAGCAAGAGGAGGTGAACAATAAAGCAAGGAGAGCGGAGAAGAAAATGTGAAAGCAGCTAGCGCTCTTCATCTGCTGTTACGGGTGTCTTTCAATCTCATTTCAAAATCACTGTACTGTGAAAATCTAGCCGTGGAAAAAGGATCGAGCAGAGGCAGGGCCTTTTTCTGCTTGCTCGACGGGCGCCTGACGTCACTTTATACGAACGTACGGGCGCGAATCATTCACCGAATTTCATGATGATACCGCCAATAAATTTTTATAACCTCGGCATTTCCTTCTTCTTACGTGCCGATGAATATTTTAGCGAGGTGCTGATATTTTATTGATTGCTCCCGCCGCCGTGCTTTCGATACCTGCACTTCTTTTTCGCTGCTCTTGTGCTGCCCTGTTTTCGCTCTTTTTTACTCCCTTATCCGGACGCTTTCTATCTCGTTTCGCAATAATGCCAAGAGAGTCGAGAGCTAGTCGCTCTTTATTAACAGCCGAGGCCACTTTTATTGTAAATAAAGACCTCCTCCGCCTCCTTATCAAGCCGAGTGGATTTTGTTGTTTATTTACAGAGGAGTGGCTTTATTTCTGCTCTTTGCTACCCGCCTAATATCGCGTGTATCCACGTGGATTGCTGCGTCAGTTCGTCTCTTGAGGGTCGACGATCACCCCTTTCTGATTTGCATCAGTGGCCCTCTCTCGCTTATTCTTGGTCTTTCCAACCCCCACGTAATGTAAGTTGCTGGTGTTGTCAAGCAGTATTGTTTCCACTAATTGTAAGTATGAGTTTCTCAACTATAGTCAATTCTTCCTCGCACACCTTTGATTATAGTACATTCCATATTTTTTATGATGAGTATCTTAAATGCTTAACTATGTATGTAATAAAATTGCACGATTATAGAGATTTTTCATTTCTAATAAATTTCATTAATTTTTTTTTTTTTTTAAATCAACTCTGTGAATTTTTCAGCGCTTTTATAATGGTTTAAGAACAATTTAAAAGATTTTAGTAATTTTAAAGTGGAAGTCAGTCGACGTTATTTTTCATTATTCGCAAAGATCATTATTTCCTGCATGATTGGTCTTTTGTGAAGTCTCATCTCTTTTGGGGCCATAAAATCTCACGGAAAAAATATCACTTGAAAATTATTGCTAAAAGCTTACCACTTAATTCCGGCAGCCAGCTCAGAGGTGTTGGTTTATTCTTAGAAAAGATCAGTTTCCAAACCTCTGGATGGTTGATGAGTGCCACAAATTTTGACATGTCATTTGTCATAAGTGTCATCTACCAAATCATTCATTTTGCTTGCAAATGTAGAGAACATGAAATAGGAGGCCAAAATCTTAAAAAATTACAACAATTTTAAAAAATAAATGCAAATAATGGAATCTTTAACCAAACCTCTGTTAGTACCAAATATCAGGGCACACTCTGCCTGACGGGTGAAAGACGAAATGCAAAACTGAGGCTTCAAAACCACGCGGTAGGGTAGATGCGCCTTAAATCCAGGGCTCTTCACCATTTATTTAGGCATTTTCATTTTTTGCTCTAAAGAGACCTATAATGACAAGAAAAAGGCAGTAAAATTAATGCGAAACGCAGATAAATCCGTATGCTTACCTAAAAGGTGCTCATCATGACTCAGCTTATCACGTATTTTTCCGACAGAAAATTCGGTTGATGAGGAGTAAAAAATCTGAAATTAATCTCTAGCATTAATTAATTCATGTATTTTCTCACGGAAAGTCGACGATCGGCCGCCGACGAGCGAAACAAATACATAGGTTTCTTTCACGAGAAATGATTATTATTTGCCTGCTTTAAATTTGTTTACAGTTTCTGTTTTCAAACCAAGAAGTCCAGGCGCGCCTTTCGCTATCACTGAAACACGCGCGCTGATTGGCTGGAGAGCGACCAGGGGGAGGGTAATTGCCTCCTGGACTTCCTGGAGTTTTGTTTCTGTAAGATCGTAAGATCTGTGCCCTGTGGCCAGAGGCTCGGAAGTCGGAGGGCTCGGATCAAGAAGTTCTTGGCTCGGACTTGTCGCCACCTGTTTTTATTTCTGGTGCGAAAAACCAGGTGCCCAACTGCCCAGGTCTTGGCCCAGGTGGCCTAGTCAGACGCGGCGGGATAGGTGAGTTGTTGCCATTTTTCATGGATTTCAATACAAACACTCTCATAAAATCCGTGATTGTAGCCATGAAAGTACTTTTTAGTGATTTTAAATTTTGCTCAAGTCGTCAATAACCATCAAGAGTCCACTTCATGCAGGCTGATACGCGCAAATTTGGAGGAAAAGCGTGAAACTCGCCACGAGGTAATTAATTTGAGCGGCCGCCGGCCCCATAATAATGGCGAGAAAATCTCATTGCCCAGCTCTCAGCGTGAGAGGGTACAAAATGGAAAAGATACAAGTTCTATATAATATTCACTTGTTTTTCAATTATATTTTTGTATAAACGTCTCCTTGTTGATAAAGTTTGGCCCAAAATGTTTCAACCGCGATTTTTTTTGGGTGCATGGCATTTTTGCCAAACAATTTTGAACCATTTTTTTTTATAGTTGGAAAAATATAAAAATACACGGAAAACGCAAATTAAATTTAAAAAAATCGAAAATATATCTTGAGATTTATCCCTTTGACCTCGTATTTTCTCTCATGGAAAAATCTTCTAGTTAATAATAAATAGAGCGTTTTGACTTGTAACATTTTCTTACAGAGACTTGCGAGTTGAACAAATTCATCATGGTGCAGAAGCAAAGAAGCAGCCAGGACAAATCTTTCGCTGCGCAGAAATGAAACAATTATGAACGTGGCCTTTGTTTGTGCACAGCGAGGGCAATAATAATAATTTCTTTGGCGCGGCCGTTTTTATCCAAGAGACGAGCGGTGCTTACTGTAATGAAAGAACACAGGCTAATGATAAATAATGCAGTTGCAACTTCAATTACCCGCCTCAACCATCAGCGGCCGCTGCTGCGAATATCTGGGTCGCAGACAAAAAGCAAACGCCGCTGTCGGCGCTAAATTGCGCTTTGATGACACTGTTATTTATTAAACGAGCACCCGGATAAATATTTGCTAACGAAAGGTCAACAACCGGTTTGCAGGAAAATGCGATTAATTAATTTGTTTTAAGCAAATTTTGCAAAAAGTTGTTTTACAGCAAGTTTATCAAAGAGCATCAGGTTAGCGCGAATTGGTGATTTGCAGAGCGTATCGGCAGTTGCGTGGGTTTTTCTCTAATTATACCGCTTCGGCTGATAAACGATCCGATAAATCCGACGCGCACCGAACCCTCTAAAGATCCCGATTTTATTGCACGCGCGCAGATGTATAATTAACGTCTAGACGATTAAAACAATAAATATTAACAGGTGCTGCACCGAGGGGGGTGCGACACGCAAAGGCGAGCCGGGGGTGCTTGCTTTGCGCCACCCCTCTTGACTTTTGAGCAAAACTTTTCGCCTTGCGAGAAATCGTAATAATGGGGAAAGTACTGGGACTGAGAAAAGCAAGGGGGTGCCGCTCTTTAATTTGAAAAGCACCGCGTGTTTTGCTTTACAAATCCCGGAATAATCAATCACGCCGACTAATGAGAATCCAACAACTCTTCACACGAAAATAGGCACACGTTGAGATTGATTTTGCTGCCAACGCCTCAGGTGAAAGTTCGTCTGCACACGTGAATTGAATAACTATGAAGTGTATTCACGTGGAATAACAAATTATTATTCGAGTTTCTTTCCAACTTTTGCAATTATTGCAAAATAGTTAACTATACAATGAAGGGGTTGCTGTATTTACTCCGTGATTGTGACGCAAATTACAATAATTACAAAAATTTAATTATAAATAGCGTATAAAGGAGAATAAATTTATTTATTTATCTTTCTAGAAAGCTTAGTTATGTCGTTTAACTCATATCATTTTTCATATTTTTTATTTTCTTAAATTTTTTGTTGACGAAGAATAATAAATAATTTTAAGTTGTTCCTAAGAGTTGCGGCAAAATATTCTCATCTTGTAAATATTATGTTCATAAGTATAGCGTCTGATATTAAATACATTTTTGTGTGAATTATGTCATTATGGTGAAAAAATTTGAACATTACGCAAAAGATTTATCTTATATATTTTGATTTGTTTATTAATTTTATTTTTAACAGATTTCTAACCAAGAATGATATTTAATAAAAATCCGAATCTAGAAAGTTGGAGAATTTTCAATTATTTGTTAATTCGTAGAAACCTTTCTAGAATCGTGAATTGCTAATTTGCAAGCTCAATTAGGTCGTGCGTTGGCGAGCAAATTTTGAGCCGGGAAGGCGGCCGCTCTCTCGCGTTCTCATAGCGTAATTGGACAGCCTGTGGAGTGAATATTGGCAAAGTTGATGGAGTCATCCGAACGTAATAATTATATTCCTCGCCACTTGAAAGTTATTCGTCCAAAGAGATGAATGCCATTACTCGGGGGTTCAGTTCAGAGAGGAACGGCAGGCAAACCAGAGACTGAGCAGGCCTTTTGGCGCAAACTTTTTCAACTGCTCTTCAGAGCATGTGTTCAAATGTAATGAATAGTACGCCTGCCAGCAGCTGCTCGAACCTTCTGTTCGAGTGCATCTTCAGGTGATTTGGAGCAGACACTCGCTCGTCCGAATTATTCCATTTACCTAATTAAAAGTTGCCCTTGGGAAGACTCTGCTCTTAAGATTATGAATGTTTGATTCAATTTTTGAGCAAACAATCTGAGAGACTTTTTAATGCAGATTTATTTACACAAGAATTAAATTCATTTTATAAGCAGAATGAAAGCTCTTTGTATGATGTGGACTACTAAAACAAAGTCCTGAGAAATGCATAAATTATGTTTGTTTGTTTATTCATTTCTACATACCATTCATTTGCATATTAAGTGTTTTATTCATTATGAAATTCACAAATTTAATGCAAAATATTTTCAAAATTTAGAAATTTATAACTGTTCTATTAATTTAATAACTTGATTATTTATTATTCAATTAAATTTTGCATAACTAAATCTTTTTTTAAATAACAAATCAAGGATATGAATTACTCGATGAAAATAAAGGTAAAATACTTAATATCAGATAGATGGAAGAATTATTGTAGAGGTAAAAAAAACTTAAGTTGGTTTTATCTTTACTACTGATTATTACTTATTAGAACGTTGCATACAAATTTTTATGTAAATATAATAAATTCAAAAAGCAAAACATTACTAATAAATCATATTGAATTTTAAAAAATGCTGCAAACTGCTTTCCTTCAAACTGATCAAAATGAAAACTCAATACGAGCAGACAGCGCACCGCATGAAATTACTTGTTGCTTTCATTACTGTGGATAGATATTGTTTTCAAGTTCAATGTTTTATAGATTTAGATTATAAAATGCACTTTCCAAAGAAATATTAGTATTGTTTAACAGTCCACATTGTTTATATTTAATTGTTGAAAACAAGTAATTTAAAAAAAAGGAATAGGTTGCAAAAACGGCACCATCACAAGCAAGAAATTTGCTACAACTTCTGATTATGAGATAAAATAATACTCCATCTGCCGCTCTCTTTTTCTTTGGTTTTTTAATTCTTTTTTCGTTTAATTATTTGAATGAAATCATGTATGGAGCAACTTGAACTACAATTAGAACTTAATTAAACCAATTTTGTAAATAATTATTATAAAAAAAAATATTGTAATATAGATTGATCTAGAAATTTAAAAATATTTTCAATACTGTATGACAAAATTGAAAAGTTTACTTGGTCCAACAAGAGTGTAAAGATCGACCGTTGCTCCTTATTTTTCACTGGATGCGAAACATCTTTATATAAATTTGCAAATGTGTCGTTAAATGTATAAGGCGTGCATCACACATATTTAAAATTTAATCAAGGAGGAATTCATTAGGTGCCTGCGAAGAATGTGCAAACTTTTTAATTTGTCGGCTAATTAAAAGGCGTGTGCAATTTGTGTGCGCGGGGAGCGGGATTTATCAGGCGAAATCCTTTTCTGGAAGGGCCCCTCGGCGCCCGACGAGTGCTCCTCATTTGCCGCGCGGCGTCTCGTTTGCGAACAAAGTTAGCCAGTTGAAGAAGCACGAATTGCAGCGCACGAGGAGAGCAGAAACCTCGTAAAATGTATTTCCCCCGGGTTCGGCAGCGCACCGCCGTTTTTTCCCTTCGCCCTATTACCCGGCGTGCAAACCCGGGCGAGAAATAACTTTGTTTGAAAATGAAAGTGACACACGCTTAATTCTCTCTCTTTTATAATGCAATTTGCTGTTATTACGATTTAATTCCGACTCGCAAGTGCCGCCGCGGCTGAAACAATCCTCGACGAAATGAAATTTTTCTCCTGCGGCACTCCACGGCCGTTTGCCTCTGGTTTATGGCTCTCATTTCTAACACGCTTGTTCTTCTGTTTCAGATACGACCAGACAATTCTCATCGGGAAACAGAAGAAGGACGAATTTCTTTGTGAGTAAATTTTGAATTGTTAAATTTCATTTCAGTTTGAATTTTATTTGGTTGGTGATTTAAAACTTGACAAGATAATATTGTCATATAAAAAATCTTTAATTCATACTGACAGATTTTCTAATAATCAATGGAATATGACAAATTTTGTTAATATTTTGCTCTGGGTTTTCTTGCACAACTGACTTCAGTTTTTTAATTTGTTATAACCAGTTACTTTAATTAATTGTGTAAAATTAAAAAAAAGATCCGACTGAAAACGTTGGGTTTTTGTGACGCACATTTGGGAGTTCATTGAAAATTTGCACGTGTGGCGTAATAAAAATGGAAAGCGATCATTTCGAAATTGAGACATTTTTCGCCCAAAATTGCGCCATTCGAATTTACGACCCCCAATCTCTCTTCCACCCTCTCTCTCGCCAAACAGAAAGCGGCGCTCATCTTTCTCCGCGCCAATTTCGTTCACGCCACTGCGGACCAAATTTGATAATTCAATCATGTGGCTACGTGATACAATAAGAGGACCAATTGAACAGGCACTGATAGCGCCGGCCGCCTCTGCAGTGCTATTCATCACAATCGAGAAAGAGATTTAATAGCCGCTCGTTTGATAGAAAAGGAAGTAGTACCATTTCGGTCGGGGCTCTCTTAAATATCACCGGCCGCGTCGAACGTACGTGTGAGAGATACAAATAGTTTACTTACAAAGAGAGCCACCCCACGTCCTTTTGCCTTTATGTGTGCGTATGTCTCTCGTCGGCTCTTGTGTTGACCAAACAGGGTCGTGGAAAATAGTCCTTAGATAATTCACGACATACACTACCAAAAGCCTAATAATTTAACTAAAAGAAAGTGCAGTTTTTTTAAACTATCAATTATAATTTCAAATGCACAAATAATTATAGGGAATTAGGTAAAAGATTATTCGAAATTCAACACTGAATAATAGGGAGAAGTATTTAAATAAAAATTATATAACTGCTGATTTTATAGAATGATATGTTAAAAGCATAAATATTATTTTGTTTTTTCCTTGAATATTTCCCAAAATTTAGAAACGTTAATTATTTAAATAATTTCAAACCATTTTATTTAAAATTTCAATTATCAATATGAAAATCTTGAGTCTACCTTAGCAATTTTATTTATAAAATTGTTATTTTCTTCAAGATTTTTTACTTCTTTTTTGTTATTTTAAACCTATAAGAAACTGGATATTATTAGCTCAAAGTTCAAATGAAGTTTGTTAGTGTACTAAGTGTAATCTCAGCCCATTTTGAGATTTATCACATTATACAAGAAATAAAATTAAAAAACTTGTAAACAAAACTCGTACACTTTATCAGAAGCTTATGGGGAGAAAAGCAAGAAATTTAAATTCACACAGTTGTTATTAAAATCTTTGAAATTCAAAATATTTATTTGGAAAAATAAATTCAATGCTCACAATCAGATTATGACTAAAGTCCCTTAACGCAGATGCAGACCCCTTAAAAGGGCGTTCCCGTACCATTTAATGCTCGACTCGGACATGTCGGGGCCACCAGATCGGTGATTGCGAACCCGTGTCGCGCGCCGCTTATCATACTCGGCACAAATCGGTGGCAGACGCGCGAGGATAAATCATGCTGGCAGCAGCAGCAGCAGCTAATTAGAAAAATGTAATCAGCTTATTAGGGTCCGATTTCCATTAGCGCGTTACAAGCCCTTTTAATTGCGTTTCAATGTGGGCACTGCGCTTTTCAAAGCCGGGGCGAGGTGCTGATTTGCATATTATATGCACGCTGTATAGTTTGTCTGTTTGAGGTCGAGAGGCGTATTCGCAAATAGCTCAAAGCGCTCACTGATACACACATCATATGCATCTATAATTCAAAGCGAGTGCGGCTTTTCACCCCGACATTTAATTTAGGTCAGCACTTCATTTATTTATTTATTTTTATTTTATTTTTTTTTGTAATTAGCAATTTTCTGTGATTGGAGCTGATCGGAACGACCTTTGCGTCTTGTATTGATGGCGGGCGTCCGAGGAATTCGAGTCACATTTACGCAATCAGGGCGTTGTCTCTGCCTTTTTTCCGCTCTATAAATCGCGCCTTGTCGGTCCCAATAATAAATATGCCGCTGGCCGCCGCTCGCACACTCGCCGCGCATTTTATCTGGTGGAAAAAGGAGCCGCTCCCGAGAGTTATGCCCTCTTACTCACTCGACAGTAAATACTTGGAAGCGAGATAAAAAAAATCCAAAGCAGCGGCAGTTTGTTCACTCTGGCAAAGATAAAGCGAGTGAAACTTTAAGCTATTGCAGCGTTCAAGCGATTCAACGCTATTTGAAACCGATTAATTTTTTGCTGTTCGAAGTAAGCCTTATAAAGTGTTCAAATAATTTTATTTACTTCCTCGCTTAAAATTTATGATCTTACACCTTTCAAACAGTTTGAATTTTAAACACTCATTTTGATTCACACATGCAGTTTTTTACGATGAAAATTATGAAGTCTTAAATAGAATCAGTGATTAGATTAGATTGTATAGAAGTCCTCCTCCTATTCATTTTAAGCATAATTTTACAATCAACGAGCACAAAATGTTAAAATGATGCTGAATTTAATTTGTTTTTTATTTAATCAAAATTAATTAAGCTTTTTATTACTTTTTATAGTAAAATCTGTTCCAAGCGCAGCATCAGAGTAATATTTAAAACAAAATTTTAGGCTAAGCCTATTGGAATTAATTTTGATACAATGCTGTTGAGTTCAATTCGACTGTCGATCAAAATGTTGAAAGTGCGTCCTTCGGCCAGCCTAATTGCATCGTGCACGACGCTAATTTCGTTACAAAGTTGTGTGTCAGCTAGGCAGGCGTGCGGCGGCTAGACTGGCCTGTGAGTAAGTATGCATCCCGCCGGAAAGCGGCGAGGAGCGGGTGGCCTATAGCTTCTGTTGTTTGCCGACCGGCCGTTTTATTTGCTTGGTCAGCAGCGGCCGTAGCTGCTCACCAACGGCGGCGTTGTTATTTAGTGAGGCATTATTGCTTTAAACACACTCGCACTCGCACACACACAACCATCCGTCTATCCACTGGCCGCGCTCTGCAATTTAACGCTTGAAATATTATTATTTGCCTGGTCAGCAACATCTTGTCAGCCATCACGCGCGCTGACCTGCAAAATCCGAATGAAGCCGCGTTGCACCAAAAGTTTGCATAACTTGTCAAACAATCAAATGCAAGAAATTTTTATTATGTGATAATAATAGAAAATAAACATTAATTTAATTATCGAGTGAATTTTAAATTTGAATTAATTTGTGCGAGTTTAATTAATAATTGTTTTTTTATTTAGTTTTTCTGTAGTAAAAAAATAATTGATAAATTTAAGGAAAAATACAAATGTCATAATAGGTTTACTAGGTTGAGAAATGCAGTAAATTAGAAAATATGCATCTCTTTTTTTCCTGTTGCATTCCTTTGTCTTTATAAACTTTGATCATCTCTGATTATTTATTCTAACTTGCTATCAATATTGTCATAAAATTGGAAATGACCGGAAATGACTTTATTTATTCACAGACATCAAAAAATGTATCATGTAAGGATAGAAATGTATAAAATATTTTATGATTTATTTATACATTTTTTTTAAATAGCATCTTTTTATTAAAATTCTATAGAAAAACCCGCACAAAACTGAATTTCATACTTCAAGAGTTTTAATAAATCAGCGGCAAAGTCTTGACGCGAGCCCACCGCGCATAAATATTTCATGGGTGGCACACTTCTTGTGCATCACGCCACCGAACCCGTGTGCGAAACGCAGCCGAGGAGGAAATATGTAAAACAGACGTGTGCGGATGTGGAAGCGCAGCGAAAATACCAAAGGTCATAAATATTGCATGGCTTTGCCGCCAACACCTCACAATAACCTCCATTCCTGCCGAAACTTCATTGTCGAGGTGCTCCCGCGGGAACTGCGGGTTCTGAGGAAGGAAACGCGAAACTGCAACTTTTACGTAATAATATTTTCTGATCGTTTTTCAGTTTGCTCTCTTTGAAGTTGCGGAGGAGTTTCGCAGGTCACTCGCAAAATTATTTGGCTCGGCGCCGCTGGCTAATGGTCCACGCAGATAAATATCCGCTTCGCAGAGCGGCCGCATCAAAATTTAAATAAATTATTTAGCGAATTTCGGTCGAGCGGGTTGCCTAACTCGATTGCCCCGTCCCTTTCGCAAAGGCTGGCGTGTTTGGCTTAAACACTTGTGTGCAAAAACGCCCTGCTTTCTCTCTTACGCGCGCACACACGTTCGCCATATCGTCTCTGCACAAACTGTTCTTTATTCCTTTGGAGGCGCACGCTTTAATTAAATCCCCAGGCCAGTAAAATGAGCAGCATTTTGCCGTATTACGGCCCTCGACGCCGCCGCTGCCGAGAGCGCAGAGAGTCCTTTAAAGGCACCCTCTGCACCCGGCAAGAGGCTTTTTCCACTGAAAACACGCCGTCGCCGCACTCTACTTACCCGCTTTAAAAGACGGCGAGCAGGTATAATATGCACTTCAGCAAGCGTTCCCTGAGTTTTGCGGCCTTCTCGTGACGACGTTTTTTTATAGGTATAAAAATGCAAAGTTATCTAATTTAAAAAATAAAAATACGCAACGAACAGGAGAGAGTTGTAGATAATTTTTTTGTAAAATCGCATTTTGAACGTCATTTCTTGTAATTCTCTGCATAAAAACCCCAAAATATAAAAATTGAAAATATTAAAGATATCAACACTAAATTGATTTTGTTAACACATTCATTTCTACAAAAAGGTAAATTTTGAATTGAAGTAAATGAGGTATCCAATTACCTCTGCAACGAAGTGCAGCTTGTGTGTGACGTACTTTATAATGAAACGAGAGCAGTTGGAGATTTTTAATTCCGAAAAAAAGTGAAAATCTGGAGAATGAACGATTTAAAAGTGGCCATTTTTGCAGGCCTAAAATCAGTTAAAAAAATTCAATGGATATATTTCATTGATATAAATTTTTAAATAATTGTGTACTAGTTTCCAGACTAACAAATAATCAAATAAAATATTTTATTAAACAAATTGCAAGATTGAATTGTCAAGTCTGTATTTTTATAAATAACGATTTACGAGCAAGGAATAATAAAAATATCTTCTATTTTGAAAATATATTCTTGAGAAAATAAGCATTCTGAGAGTAATAATAATTTTCTTAAATGATTCGCGTCAAGTCCTCTGGTTTGACAATTTAGCCTCGTTTGTATGTTGGAAGCTGCACTCGATCACGGCAGTGCGCTGAATTCGTAATAAATGGCTGTCATTCGCCGAGTTGGCAAGCAGTAAAATATGAAAATTTCCGCCGGGCGAAAACGTAATGAAACTTCACTCCCGAATGTGTCTGTGCGAGAGAGAGACCCTCTTTTACACAAAAAGAATAAAGCTGCCGGGCTGCGGTGGCGTTCTTTACTGCTGATGGGGTCTCTAATTTCACACGTTGAGAAATAAAAGTGGTTTCGAGTGCAGCGACTCAGAAGTAGCAGCAGCAGCAGCTTCCCTCGAGAATTCTTCTTCCTTTCTGCGTTGCTTTCTTGCCGCTGTCATTGCCGAGCAGCTTTCCTCGAGGTTAAGGCGCTGTATATAGCTCCCCAAATCCTAATTAATTGTCTGCTCCAGCCGCCTCAAACTTTGGAAATCTTTCCTAATCCTTTCCCTCTACAAGGCGCACACTCGCTCTTTCTCCCACACACACACACGGCGGCCCTAACAAAATGCTTCGTCATCCACGTCGATTTATAATAATTCGCCTCTCGAAATTAACTCTCCGGTGCCCTGAAAAGGCAGCCGTAAAATTGGATCTGACGCTGCAATTAATGGCGAACCGTTAATATCACTTCCGAGTGGAGTGAACTGGCTGTTGCTTTTTTCTGTGCGAAGCGCACCACATTGATTGAGCCTCTAATCTCTTTTTATCTGCGTTCTTCTTTGTTTTGCACGAGAAGGGATTTCCAAAATAAAAAATGTCGAGATTTTTAAATAACTCAGTAAGTAAAAATGCAAGTAATATATTGACCTCCTTGGTTGTTTTTTTTAAACAGCAAACGATTTAAAAAAAAAAAATACACCGAGGTAAAACCGACTTCACGTTCAACTCACCATAATAATTTGAAGTCTCTTTTAATCTTTAATATTTAATTTAATTTTTCTTTGCGAATTTTTTACATTTAATACAGAAAAATTTTATTTATATTTTTATAGCAATTAAATGACATAAAAACGTACAATGCACTGAATAATTGAGTACCCAGCAATAGCAAAAATCTTGTTGATACATTCGAAAGTTCGTATTATTATAAAAATACTTGGTTATGATAGTGTGCATATAAATTTTATGCAAAGAACTTAACACAATTAATTGAAGGTCTTTCAGCCCGGTTACATTTTTATTATAAGATAAGAAATTTTGAAGGGAAGAACTATAAAGTAAAATCAAAATTCAGATTCACTGCAATTTTGTTACAATGGATCAATAAATAAAATAGTCAGAATCTTAAATTTTTTTCATCTCACAATCAGATGTGATCGCAGCGGTAAGATGCTAATATCGGTTTTCAGGGACGAGATTCGGCTCGCAGTTGAGGCGCGCTCGCTGACTCGTCTGCATTGAGGCCCGCCGAGTTTTAATCTCCCATTCACATGCAAATTCGTTTTTATTGGCAGCCGACTTTATTACCCAGCCGGCAGCACTCGAGAGAGAGCGCGCGCGATATTACAACTCTCTCGGCTGCGGAAGACGCGCGCGTATGAACCTCCACTATATGTACATATAACGTATTTTTGCTTTCGGGGCTGATGACTGACTCACCAAAACCAAAAGTTATGAGGCGACACACATCCACCCGGTCCTCTCACGCGAGTGTTTTAATATTGATTGGGTGGGACGCCTCTTTTGCCCCCGGCCAACGCTAATTTAGCAAACCCATCTCCGCCACTGCTACTACTTCTACATACCGTGTTTGTACTATGGATGTGTGAGGCCGTGAAAAATAACACGCCGAGTTTTCATTGCCCGAGGAGCAGTTTCTGTTCTGCGGCTCTGATTGCAAATTAGCTTTTTTGCGGCTGATGCACAAATTGAATATGCAAAGCTATTTTTTCGTGCGAGCTTTTTTTTTGTCGCTCGCAGAGATCATCGGCTTTTTTATTTCTATCTCGCCACCACCGCAATTTCATTTCGTTCTGCTCACATTTGGTGGAAAATATTCAAAATTAATTTTACAAACAAATTATAATTTTTTAACTCAATATTAACATTAGTATTAGTTTTCAGCACTTAATAATTACTATTAATATTATTTTCTAATTTCATAATTAATTTTAGATATTTGCGTCACAACAGATTACAGAATTCCTTCAAACATTGATGCATTTTTTTTAAATTTTAATCACATTTAGTGATGGATTGTGTCATTTAATTATGCCTGCAGTTTTTGGCAAAAAAATAATTGTTACACATAAGAATTCCTAATTTGAATTTTACACCAACCGCACGTTGGGTTTGAATTATTTATCTTTCAATATATTATACTTGTATCAAATTTACTCAAACATATAAATTTATAAACCATTTTAAAATATGTATTTTAGTTGATTACGTAGGCCAGTATTTAACATTTAATTAAAACACGTAAAAAACTTTAAAACTTAAAACATATAAATGTATCACAATTTAAAAAAATTAAATTAAATTTTGTATATTGGAGTTAAAAAATGTTTTAAATAAAATTTAAAAATTAATTTTAAATATATATAAAGCATAAGAACTTGACATATCTCTCTGCTGGCGAAAAATTTGCACGGCCGATGACGTATGCAAACCATCCGTTTGCTATTTGCCAGGGGTTTCGAGGGCGGCTTTTGCCTGGGAAATGTGTACTTTGCTAATAGCTTTGACGTTGATCCAAAATTCAACACAGCAGGCCAAATTGTTTGTGTAACTTTAGTTGGCAGAGACGCATTTGCGTGCGTGATTCGACGGCGCAGAATAAAACGTACGCCGAGAGTGTGAGAGGCGACAAAGTAGAGAGTTGTGTCACCGCCGACTCATTTCAATTTTGAAGCACCTCGGATTAAAACACACGCCGCTGAAACCGAACGGCACATAATGGCTTTCAATGAAAGAGCGAACGCCAGCCAGCTCTCCTCACCCTTTCCCCAAACTCTCGCGCTCGATGTGTGGCACAGAAATATTAAATTCACCCGAGCAGCTGGCTTATCGCCAAATTGACATTATTTTTAATGACCCTGTAAATTCATTCGAACAGCCGCATTAGAAAGAAAAGCAGGCCGTTTTGGCCGATAAAAAGTTTTGGTTTCCATGTGGCGCTTGGATGGAGATACGAGATCATTCCCGCTGAAATTGTACACTTTCTCCGCGCGTCTAGACCGCATCTCCTTTCTAATTCGCCCCAATCGGGCCCAAAACTGCGCCAATAATGCTGGGTGAATGGCCCTATTTCGCAATTCAGCCAGATGAGACGGAAAATAAAAGAATCACTTGAGTCGGCTGCAGGAATTTCTGGGAAAGTTTTCTTCGGGTATTTTTCAAAGATATTGGAGAAATAAAGCTGGGAATTATGTAAATTAAATATAGAGACTATTTCTTCAAAATATGCAAATCAGGCATTTTTTTAACGTAAAGCATTACAAAAAGTGGGAAACAAAATAATATTTGAACATTCGCTGCACTCTCATTGCATCAGATTGCTTTTCCTGTGATTTGATAAATAACAAATTCAAATTTATGTTCACTGTCAAAATTTCAGATAAATAATGAAATCAGAATAATAATAATATAATAATAATAAAATGGGATTTGCTGGAAAAAATTTTTATTTATGATTTCTAATATCATTTCCATTTTCATGTGGTAATACCCTCTTAATATTAATAGGTAAGACATATAGATCAGATTCATTCAAAACAAAATAATTATTGTATAATATATCGCATGTAGATTATTAATATTATTATACAATTTAATCTTAAAGTGACAAATATTGACCATAGAAAAGTCAAAAGATTAAAAAGAAATTAAAATTTTTATATACTTTAGCATAAAATGAAAAATTTCTATTTACTAAAAATATCATATTTCAGGGGCAAGCGCAGGAGGTTGCTGGTCTGTTCGAGCATGTAAGTACAATCTTTTGATTCTTCTCCAACTCAATCGGATCCTGTGGAAAGAAGAGGTTTTATGGTCTGAATAATTAACGCCGTGTGTACCCTCTTAATGCCTGAACAATAACAGTTTGCAAAGATTCTCAGCGTGCTTTGCTTCCAACTACGTGTGCACTAATCGCCGATTTTCACAGCGGGGCAATGGCAGTTGTTACCAACTCGAACGTTACTTGGCGAACTCAAAACCTCTTATCACAAGTTTGATCTCTCTAAAAAGCGTGCGATCTCTCTCTGGCGCAAAAAGCCTCGGGGCGAGATTTTCTCTCGGCGCACTAACTATGATGGAATTATTCTAGCATACATGATGTATTTGCTCTCGAGCGGAGTTTCCGATGCACTTCTCGTGCTGCGCCGCAGAGCTGCGGCCCCCTGCTCTTGACTGATGTTTGGTTCTCACACCAACTCTATGAGCGCCAACCCCTTTTAAACCCCGTTCTGAAAGGACGGACGGCAGATTTAAAACGCATCAACCGAGGCGATCATGCATGCACCTAATTGCAATATCAATATACCGGACATTAGTGGAGAGGCGTACAGGATAAATTTTATTAAAAGTTAAATCCTGGCTCAGTAGTTTGCTATGCTATGGCCTATGGCAGTGATATCAATATAGAAAATTTACAAGGGTTAAAGAGTAGGGATTAAAATGTATAAAGGAAGGGGGATCTGAAAGAGTATGGCCTATGATTTAGAATTCATGAAACAAGAAATTTTTAGTTGGCTCTGATGCTTATGACAGTAAAATATCAATTCCAGTTGGAATTTTTATTTATAATTTGTAAATTTCCTTATCTGCTGCCTTGAATTTTACCTAGGTAAAAAAATACAATATATGATATTTATTATATCTCGTACAAACAAATTACTTTTGTTTCATTCAACTATTGTAATTTGTGATAAAAAATTACAAAAAAAAAATGGTTTTTATTTATATGAATTAAAATCTTGAATTGAACGCTGCTCGCTTTTTGAGGAAATTAAGATTGCATTGAATGAAACGTATAAATTTATTAATTTTACTATAAAATTTCTGATATATTGTCCAGTTTGATCTGTATGATTATAATAAGGGAGATTTTTTTACTCGATATGAAATAAATTTTTTTTATCTTTTTGGACTGAAACACTTAGTAATTGTGTCTCTCCTCGCCATAGGTCTCCAAAGAACTGGAATTGATATAACCAAATCGAAATGCTCAGCGGGTCTCTGGGAAAAATGACGCGCTTCCACCTCATTGTTTTTCGAATCGGCGCAAACGCCCGTCGCCGGCAATAAATTCGTTTCTCCAGAGCGATCACTCGCTCCAAATCCGCTCTGCTGCAAAAACAAACCTTTTTAACGCTATTAAGGCTTTTCATTCGCGGTCCGTTGCATTTTCCCTCTCGCGCGCGGTCCTTAGCTTGTTAGATTATCGGGGAGGGAAGCTGCGCGCCCGCCGCTCTCTCGCTCGCTGAACTAACACTCGATGGGTTTCGCTAATTCCAAAGGCGAGTTATTATCCCCGAAATGCCCTCGCTCTCGCTTTCCCCTTGGACGATCCGCATGTATGGCGGATGAAAGTAGATTTTCACAGACACTTACGGATTTGGAAAATGACAAGGGCTGTGATGTTATTTCTAAATTTAAAGTGCAGACACATCTAGAAAATTATTATCAAAAGTAAATAGAAGATTTTTAAAAACTTGAATCATATTAAATTTGAGATTTTGTTGTTTAATTTTTTTTTTTTAAAGAAAATGCTGGAAGAAGGAAATAACCAAATACATTACTTGTTTTTTGCATGTTGTTTATTATGGATATGTTGTTTTATATGAAGTACTATTCAATCATACTGTATATCATGTCATAGGAGAGAAAAAATATTAAAAATACAAGAAATTTTTTTATCACTTTCAAAAAGTTAAATCAAACGGAAATCTTTTTCAAATAATTATAAATTGCCCATGATTGCGTAGACTTGCTGTTCCTTTGTCTTTCTGTGACAATTATTATATAAAAGTGCAATCATGGAGCATTACCCGCAAAGGACAACGTCAATTAGAATCTACACGGCCCTGCAATCAGCAAGCTGGCGGAACGTCAATTTTCGTTCTTTTGTGTGACAGTCTCGACACTGCGACAACTTTTGCCGCGAAACAGCGTCGCTAAGTGGCGACCGGACAGTCGATGTGTAGCTGGCTTGTGTGCAGTTATAATTGTGTCGACACGCAGATTAAATATTAATTGACAGGCTTTTATCTGACACGTGAAAAGAGAGGTGGTGGAAACAACCCAGTTTTATAAAGTGCAAACAGGGCAACGCGCTCTTAGGACTGACAATGAGCGCAGCGAGTTTAATTAATACAGAAAAAAAATGATTATAACATTTTTGCTGCAATTAAAAGTTCCTGGAATCCACATAAACACTCTTGGGTAACGCAATTGCTGAACGATCTTTTCATAATGAGAATTCCTTTTAACCAGGATTAAATGAAATTTTAACAAATTAAATTTTTTGTGTGATTCCTTTATGTGTTCAATTAAAGAAACTTAGTATGTAAAAATAAAAATTGTTAAGACATTAAAATATTAAAATGTATCTGAAATAATATTGCTTGCAACAAACACACAAAAAGGTACAAAGCCATTGTCATTTCGCAGTCACAAAGACGTGCATATCGCTGCATTATTAAGCTGGAATTGCGGAGTGGCGTATTTTTCTGCCTGCACCACCCACGGCGTGCAGCTGACGCGAGAGAGGGAACAGAGGGAGTCGATAATCTGAAAGATAAAGCGCACTGCTGGCCCAGATTTGAGTTTATCCGTATGCATGTATATCTGCCGCGCGGTATGCATAATCATCAGGCGCTCGTGTGCAAAATGCACCTCCGTATTACTCTGAAAGCTGCTGGCTCGATGTGAAATAATTCCTATTCAGCATAAAATGTGTAATGCAGCCGGGATGAAAGTATATGCGCGGAAATTGCGCTCTCGTGGCGAAGGCAAGACACATAAAGAGTCGATATGAAGTCGCATCTCATCTGCGCGCCGAGTGCATATTTAAAGCAGCCAATATTGGAAAAAATGTGCCTCGGCGACGACAAACCCTCCCACCAGCCGACGTCCCTCCCATTCTTCTTTTAATATTAAATGTGCGATTTTTTTATTCTTTCAAATTACACTCCAGCAGCACTGGTTTATCCCAGACTATTCAAGCAGCAGCCGCCTGTTCCTAATAGATAAAACTTGAAAAAGTACTTCAATAGAGATAAAATAAAGTTAAAATTTTTCCCTTCTACTTCTTAACAATCATACGACGGAAAAATTGTTTAATCTTTTAGCAGAATTCAATATTCTGGAACATTTATTTAGTTATATCTACAAACAATTGTAGTTTAGGGAGAGGAAACCTATTTAAAATCGACTAAATCTGACTATTTCTTGAAGCGACTTAGAATTAAAATGACTGACTACTTTTTGAAGTTAAAAGTGTGTTTTTCCAGACTTTCAAACAAGTCGAAAAATATTTTGAAATAATGTAAATATATAAAAGCATACTTATTTAAAACGTTTATTTTATAAAGAATTTATATTAAGCAAGTGAAAGTTAAATAAATTAATTTTTCATCTTTTCTTTATTGAAAAATAGGATTAGAATATCGATCGGCTCGAATAAAATTCAGACTACAATATTTTACTGTTTTGGTATTTTGAAGCTTCATTACATATTACGTGAAACTTTTAATTAAAAAAATTGCTTGAGATAAATTATGCAGATAATTTGTTGCAAAAATCTAGCTGTCGATGGCGTTATTTGTACATAGCATAATATTCAATGCAGTAAATTCTCCCAAGTGAGTACTTTCTTTTCTACGCTTGCCTCTGCGGGCGTCGCTTATTTATTTTTATAAAATAACACACGCAGCAGCACAGGGAGAGTAGCAAGCAAAAAATCGAGATGAACCGGCAGGCTGGAGAATAAAAAAGATGGATTTTGTTGCCGCGCCTAGCAGGAACCGCAATTTCGGCAGTGCTGTGGTTGCTTCAGCAGCAAAACTGCTGCTCTCCGTCTGCTCTTCTTATTCGTCTTCGTTTTCCTCCGCCACCGTGCTGCATGTCATGTCAGCGTTTCTTTGTATGTATCGAGAGTTTTTCCTCATTTTTTTTATCTCCAACGAGTGTCGCCCGGCCCAAAACCCGTCAACTATTGAAAAAAAGAGGAGCAAAACGTATTCTCGCACACAATATCGGGAGGGGAATATAAAAATCCAATCCTCCGCGTGCTCCTCTCCATCATGCACTAGTGCGAAATGCGGCGCAGACGAATAAGCCACCCAATGACTGACTGGCGCGACCCTGGTTTAAATTCGCGGAGATTACTTTTCCAGGTTGACTCACAATTTTTCTTATTTTACGCAACTTTCTCCATAACACTAAAAATAATGATGGAAAAGAAACTCAATAAATTTTTCACATGTGAATACAAATAATTATTCTCTTACGCCAAGCAAAAATTTCAATTTGGCGAGGACTGGCTGTGCTCGGAATTGATTGTGCATGTGTGCGCGCGCTTGTGTCGTTGTTAAAGTGTCGAGAGACCCGGCTCATTAATAATGGGGCAAGTGGCATGTACGAATTAAGCCTCCCTGGGAACGGATGGGGCGAATGAAATTTTAAAGTGGCGTCATGCAATGCAGGGGCACAGGAATTTAGAGTGGTTTAGTTTTCGAGGTGCCGTGCTCATCAGGTGACGTAGTTTCCCTGGTGAAAATTTTAAAACCGCGCCTCCGCTCTCGCAAGCACCGTGACAACGGCCGCTCTCTCGCACCCGAAGTCTCTTGAAAACTCATAAAATATTTAACACTCGAATGCTATCAGTGGCGGAGGCGGCGCGAAATTGATACCTTTTCCGATGCACAGTGAGAGAATACGTAAGAGCCTCTTTCGCCGGGCGTCAATTGGAAATGCTTTTAAA